GGGTGTGTGTGTGGTGTCCGTGTTTGGGTGTGTGTGTGGTGTCCGTGTTTGGGTGTGCGTGTGTGTGGGTCTGTGTGTGTGGTGTGCGTGTGTGGGGGTGTGGGTGTGTGTGTGTGTGTGGGTGTGTGTGTGTGTGGGGGGTGTGTGTGTGTGGGGGGTGGGTCTGTGTGTGGCTGTGTGTGTTTGTGGTGTGCGTGTGTGTGTGTGTGTGGGTGGGTGTGTGTGTGTGGTGTCCGTGTTTGGGTGTGTGTGTGGTGTCCGTGTTTGGGTGTGTGTGTGGTGTCCGTGTTTGGGTGTGTGTGTGGTGTCCGTGTTTGGGTGTGTGTGTGGTGTCCGTGTTTGGGTGTGTGTGTGGTGTCCGTGTTTGGGTGTGCGTGTGTGTGGGTCTGTGTGTGTGGTGTGCGTGTGTGTGTGTGTGGGGGTGTGTGTGTGTGGGGGTGTGTGTGTGGGTGTGTGTGTGTGTGGTGTCTGTGTTTGGGTGTGTGTGGGTGTGGGTGGGTGTGTGTGTGGTGTCCGTGTTTGGGTGTGTGTGTGGTGTCCGTGTTTGGGTGTGCGTGTGTGTGGGTCTGTGTGTGTGGTGTGCGTGTGTGGGGGTGTGGGTGTGTGTGTGTGTGTGGGTGTGTGTGTGTGTGGGGGGGTGTGTGTGTGTGTGGGTGGGTGTGTGTGTGGTGTCCGTGTTTGGGTGTGCGTGTGTGTGGGTCTGTGTGTGTGGTGTGCGTGTGTGTGTGTGTGGGGGTGTGTGTGTGTGGGGGGGTGTGGGTGTGTGTGTGTGTGGTGTCCGTGTTTGGGTGTGTGTGGGTGTGGGTGGGTGTGTGTGTGGTGTCCGTGTTTGGGTGTGCGTGTGTGTGGGTCTGTGTGTGTGGTGTGCGTGTGTGGGGGTGTGGGTGTGTGTGGGGGTGTGGGTGTGTGTGTGTGTGGGGGGGTGTGTGTGTGTGGGGGGGTGTGTGTGTGGTTGTGGGTGGGTGTGTGTGTGGTGTCCGTGTTTGGGTGTGCGTGGGTGTGGGTGTGTGGGTGTGTGGGTGGTGTGAGTGGGGGGTGTCTTGTTGCAGGAGAGGTGGGTGCTGTGTGGACAGCTCCTCAGCAGCTCACTCACTCACTCACTCACTGACCGGCTTGACTGACAGTTTGACTGTTAGATCTGCACAACATCAAACTGCACACACTCCTTAAACAGCCAAAGCTCACTGCCTGCGACTACTGCCTCCCTTTACTGCCTCTCTCTGCTGCCAGCCTCTACTTTTAGGAGGAGGAGGAAGTGGGGGGGGGGGGGGGATCAGTGCCTGCGATGATTAGAATAAAATACCCCAATTCACCATCCACACACACATCCACCATCGCTTTATAACCTTAATAATAATTAACAATAATAATAAATACTAATATGATACTAATACAACAATAAAATAATAGTAATGGTCATTGCATTTGGTAGAGCAGCGCCTTGACACATCTTCCAGGTGTCTCAAAGGGCTTCACAAGACAGACTGTGAGGTGTAGTGACTGTGTATTTTCTGGGCGAAACGCGGCAGCCGATGGCACACAACAGTGAGCGTCCGTCACACAAACAGTCGTGGATTGAAGTGACCGATTTACTTTTGGTTCTGGAAGTGATTATCTGTGTATCTGTGTGTGTCTGTGTATGTATGTGTGTGTCTGTGTTTGTGTCTGTCTGTCTGTCTGTCTGTGTGTCTGTGTGTGTCTGTCTGTGTGTGTGTATGTGTGTATGTGTGTGTGTGTCTGTGTGTGTGTCGCTGTCTGTGTGTGTGTCGCTGTCTGTGTGTGTGTTGCTGTCTGTGTGTGTGTATGTCTGTGTGTGTGTCTGTGTGTGTCGCTGTCTGTGTGTGTCGCTGTCTGTGTGTGTGTATGTCTGTGTGTGTGTGTGTGTCTGTGTGTGTCGCTCTGTGTGTGTGTCGCTGTTTGTGTGTGTGTATGTCTGTGTGTGTGTCTGTGTGTGTCGCTGTCTGTGTGTGTGTCGCTGTCTGTGTGTGTATGTCTGTGTGTCTGTGTGTGTCGCTGTCTGTGTGTGTATGTCTGTGTCTGTGTGTGTGTGTCTGTGTGTGTGTCGCTGTCTGTGTGTGTGTCGCTGTCTGTGTGTGTGTATGTCTGTGTGTCTGTGTGTGTGTCGCTGTCTGTGTGTGTGTATGTCTGTGTCTGTGTGTGTGTGTGTCTGTGTGTGTGTCGCTGTCTGTGTGTGTGTGTGTCTGTGTGTGTCGCTGTCTGTGTGTGTCGCTGTCTGTGTGTGTGTATGTCTGTGTGTGTGTGTGTCTGTGTGTGTCGCTCTGTGTGTGTGTCGCTGTTTGTGTGTGTGTATGTCTGTGTGTGTGTCTGTGTGTGTCGCTGTCTGTGTGTGTGTCGCTGTCTGTGTGTGTATGTCTGTGTCTGTGTGTCTGTGTGTGTCGCTGTCTGTGTGTGTATGTCTGTGTCTGTGTGTGTGTGTCTGTGTGTGTGTCGCTGTCTGTGTGTGTGTATGTCTGTGTGTCTGTGTGTGTGTCGCTGTCTGTGTGTGTGTATGTCTGTGTCTGTGTGTGTGTGTGTCTGTGTGTGTGTCGCTGTCTGTGTGTGTGTGTCTGTGTGTGTCGCTGTCTGTGTGTGTGTATGTCTGTGTGTGTGTCTGTGTGTGTCGCTGTCTGTGTGTGTGTCGCTGTCTGTGTGTGTGTATGTCTGTGTGTGTGTGTGGGGGGTGTTTCTGTGTGGTTCAGTGTGTGTGAAATTGATAGATTTCTCTCAAATACTCACTGTCTCTCTCTCACTCTCTCAAACACCCTCTGTCACTCTCTCTCTCTCTCACACTCTCAATCTCTCTCTCTCTCAAACTCTCTCACACTCTCTCACTCACACTCTCACACTCTCTCTCACACACTCTCTCACACACACACACACTCACTCTCTCTCTCACACTCTCTCTCTCTCTGTCACCGACACTGACCGTCGTCTCCGCCGCCATCACCACCTCCCGCGGTCCCGCCTCGCGCTCAGACAGACAGGCGCCGCGCCCCGAAACACCGTCAGCTCCGCGCCCGGAGACGGCACTGCGCAGGCGCCGAGTTAAAAAAAAACCCGTCGGCCCCGCGCGCGGACAGACAGAGACGACACTGCGCAGGCGCCGAGTTCAAAAAAAACCGTTGGCCCCGCGCGCGGAGACACCACTGCGCAGGCGCCGAGTCAGAGAATAAAAAGAGGCGCCAAAGTCACGCGCGGCTGTTCGTCAGTCGACGAGAGACACAGAGAGAGAGACAACAGTGCGACCATATCACCGCCACCCACCCCCCAGTCACACACACCCCCACCCCCCCCAGTCACCCCTATCCCCCCCCAGTCACCCCCCAGTCATCCCCCCCAGTCACCCCCACATCCCCCCAGTCACCCCCCACCTTCCAGTCACCCCCCCCTAGTCACCCCCACCACCCCCCCAGTCACCCCCACATCCCCCCGTCACCCCCCCCACCTTCCAGTCACCCCCCCCCCTAATCACCCCCCCCAGTCACCCCCACCCCCCCAGTCACACACACACACACAGTGAGGAGCCAATGTCAACATCTGGTCACCAGCCGCACACACACACACAGACAGAGACACAGATAGTCCCTCAGTCCCTCTCACCCGTCTTTCAAGTTCTGCCCGAAAACTTTCCTCTGACCGTCACCTCCTGAGAGTCGCCTTCATCTCAAAACCTTGAACCCACCTCCACCTCCAGGTCCCCTCCTCCCCTCACCCACCAGCCATTTACGTCGCAGCTGTGGCTCTGCCCTCCTTTACCCTTATTTCTCCCCCTCCCTCTCGACCATCATCTCCCAACTGCGGGTCACTCAACATCCCCTCCTCTCCCCTCTGCTGCCGCTACGGTCAAACAAGTCAATCTCCCGCGGCTCTGGTCCTCATCCACTAAAATCACCTGTTATTCACGCCCTCCTCCTCATCGTTATTCCTACCGATATTATTGTTTTAAGGGATAATTTATTTGGGAAAGGCTAACAGCCAATCGACTGACATGGATATTCTTGCTGACCGCTCGGGGCCAGGCGGAGGGACTGAGGGCGAGTGATCCAGAGTTTCGGGGTGTAGTGGCTGAAGGCGCGAGGGACGGGCCGGAGGCCGGAGCCGATCCAGTGGAGGCGCTGCCCGGGTGGTGGACTGAGGAGTGAGGAGGTCAGAGAGGCAGCTCAGGGAGGTGGCAGGGAATGAAGGGAATTGAACACGATTGTGATTAACCAACACTTCAGGACTCCACATTCAACCGAGATCTGTTCTGGTGGACATTAAAGATCTCGCCGCACAAATTGAGAATGAGACGGACGTTTCTCCCTGATTTCCTGTCTGACAAGACAACCCCCAGATAACATTGGCTGACAAGACAACCCCCAGAAAACATTGGCTGACAAGACAGTCCCCAGATAACATTGGCTGACAAGACAACCCTCAGATAACATTGGCTGACAAGACAGTCACCCCCAGATAACATTGGCTGACAAGACAACCCCCAGAAAACATTGGCTGACAAGACAGTCCCCAGATAACATTGGCTGACAAGACAACCCCCAGATAACATTGGCTGACAAGACAGTCACCACCAGATAACATTGGCTGACAAGACAACCCCCAGATAATATCGGCCGGTCATTATATGATTGTTTACTGCATTTGGTTGTGTGGAGATTGGCTCCACGTTCACGAAAACCCGCCTGTCACCACACTGTACAAGAATGTCCAAAGCTTTGAGGCGTTACACAACCTGCATCAAATACATGGCTCGCTGTTATTCTTCCCGTTTCTCGGGCCAGGAATATCACTGACTCCTGCAGTCTTGACCACCGTGAAATGCAGAGAGAATAGTGACTCCTGTGAGAGTGATGATGAATGTACAAGTCTTTCTCGTGGTCTGGGATCACAGTCACAATCAGCTGATTTCACAAGAAGAGACTAAAGGAGGGGGTTTGACAGCCCAGTGACTGGGAGCCGCCCACACACTCAAACTGAAACTGAAACCAGTTTGAATCAGGAAGTGCTGAGGGGGAAAATGGCTTCAGGGCTCCAGATTGAGTGCTGGACCGAGGAGATCATTTGCCCGATTTGTCTGGATTTCTTCACTGATCCTGTTAGCCTGGACTGTGGCCACAACTTCTGTCGCTCCTGTATCACCCGGAGCTGGGAAAAGCAGGAGACAAACCGCTGTGCTGTTTGTCAGGAGACTTTTCCAGAAAAGAACCTCAGGGTTAATCGGGCCCTGGCGAGTCTAGCAGAGAGAGCTCGGAAATTCAGCCTGACCCCGACACAGACGGAAATTAAACTTCACTGTGAGAAACACCAGGAGGAATTGAAGCTGTTCTGTGAATCTGACAAGAAATTACTGTGTGTAGTTTGCAGTCATGGACAGAAACACAGAGATCACAGCTTCCTGCCCATTGAGGAAGCTGTTGAAATCTACAAGGTAACAGTACCCCTCAGGAGGAAGTAAATCTATTCCACTTGATGATTGCAAGTACAAACACTGTTGTTCTGTGTGTTTATTCCAGGAACAAGTGAAATCCTCCTTAGATTCTCTCACACAGAGGAAGGAAACTGCTCTACAAGCTGAAGCCAAACAGAAACAAAATATTTCACAACTTAAGGTAAGTTTTGTTTGGGCTGATTTCTGGACTATCAGATTGTCTATATTTATTGTGTATAAAGGTTGTGAGGTCTCAGTGTGTCTCTCTTTACTCTGTGTACAGGGTGTGAGGTCTCAGTGCGTCTCTCTTTACTGTGTGTACAGATTGTGAGGTCTCAGTGTGTCTCTCTTTACTCTGTGTACAGGTTGTGAGGTCTCAGTGTGTCTCTCTTTACTGTGTGTACACAGTGTGGTGTCCCACTGTGCCTCTCCTTACCATACATCATTGGTGTAATGTCTGAGTCTATCCTTACTATGTGTACATGGTGCGATCTCTCTCTTTACTGTGCGTACAGGGTGTGAAGTCTCAGTTGTCTCTCGTTACTGCGTGTACACAGTGTGGTTCCTCAATGTGCCTCTCTTTACCATACGTCATTGGTGTGATGTCTGAGTCTCTCCGTACTGTGTGTACATGGTGCGATGTCTCTCTTTACTGTGTGTACATGGTGTGATGTCTGACATTTTGCAGGAACAGGCGAGCAGTCTGCAGACCCAAGTCAAAGATGATTTTGCTAAAATACACCAGATCCTGACTGACAGAGAGCAGCGGGTGATGAGAGATCTCAGACAGCGAGAGGAGGAGATTTTACAACGGATGGAGACTAATCTGCGAGAGATTCAGAGCAATATAGATTCACTTCAACAAGAAATCTCAGAGTTACAGACACAGATGGAAAAAGACGGGCCGATCTTTTTACAGGTAAAGAGATTACATTACAACTGAGCTCCATATCAGTTGCACACAGTCTGGAGCAGAAAATCGAATACTGATTGATAAAGAGATAAGAGATTGAATTGCTAATTTAGTATATTGTAGTGTGTGTCTGTCAGCAGGTCCGACTCTGTGTCTCTAGATATAGACTCACACAAACAACACTTTATGGTGGCTGTATATTTGAACTTTCTGGCCTTTGTAAATCACATTGAGTGAATAACTTTGCAGTAATAATGACACTAAACTTTGTGCTGTAGAACTATATTCTGTGTGTCTGAGTTTACAGTGTGGTGTCTTAGAAATTACATTTGTACAACGTCTTTCACACCCAGCGCCTCGGGACTTCCTCCTGACATGAAACACAATGTACATATGTAATCCGTTGTTGTTATTGTTGGCGTCTCAGTGTGAGCTCACTTCTGTCTGTGTTTGATTTCATTAGGAGGAATCTGCTCGGAAGAGAAGGTATGAAATGTTTTTTACCAAATATCCCAGAATTTAATACACAAACAAACACAATGTGCGGTTTCACTTTATAATGAAAAACAGCTGTCATCAACCTCTATCCTAATAAAACTTTCCATGGAGCCATCCCTGCTCACTAACTGCCACCCCATCTCCAACCACCCTTTCCTTTTCAGGGTCCTTGAAAGAGTTATTGCTTCCCAGCTTCACTCCTTCCTCACCTGTCTCTCCCGTCATGAACCCCTCCAATCGGGTTTTCAGCGCAGAAAGAGCCTTCATCAAGGTGACAAATGGCACTCTGTCCATCTGTGACCAGGGCTCCCTCTGTCTTCTCGTCCTCCTGGATCTCTGTGCTCCCTTTCACACTCTATCCTCCTCCAATACCTCTCCTCTCATCTCAAACTTGAAAGTTCTTTCCTTGATTAGATCACATCGTATCTCTGAACTCAGCTCAATTTTATCTCCACAAATCTCTTCTCACCATCTGGTGTGGTGTTCCTCAAGGCTCTGTCCTCGGTCATCTCTTCTTTAACCTGTACATGCCATCTCTTGGTGACCTCATCCTCAGACATGGAATCACCATCCATATGTACACACATGACCCTCAGATTCATCTCTCTCTGCCTCCAACATGAACCCTATGACCACTGCTGGCCTGACAGAATGTTTGTCAAATACCAAGTCCTGGATAAGTGCCAACTTTCTGCAGTTGAACATCAACAAGACTGAAGCTCACACCAGCACCTCCCAACTCAGGCCCTGGCAGCATCAGTACCCATGGATGCATATACCACCTCAACAAGCCAGTCAGGAACCTTGGTGTCTTGTTCGATCCTCAACTGTCCTTTATCTCGCACGTCAATGCCATGACCCGCTCTGCCTTCCCCCACCTCCGCAACATTACATGTCTCCATCACTGCCTCACCTCTTTGTTGCATCCCGATTCCACTATGGCAAAGCCATGCTTGATGGCCTTCCCAACTCTTTCCTCCACAAGTTGCAGATCATCCAGAACTCTGCAGCTCCTATCCTCCTTCACCAGGCTCCGTGACCCCATCTCCTCCAGCCTCGCTCGGCTCCACTGGATCCCCACCCCTCAGTGGATCGAATTCAAAATAATTGTTCTAAATTTCAAAGCCTTCCGCGGCCTTGCTCCCTCATACCTGTCTGTCCTGCAAAGCCCGTAACAACCTGTCCACTCCCTCAGTTTCTGCCGCCTCCTACATATCTCCAGCCCGACCTGCCCTGCCATTATCGGCCGAGATTCCAGCCTCACTGATCCCAACTTTTGGACCCTGCGCCTTGGGACTTCCTTGTCACGTGGAAGCCTACTGTATATAGATGTCAAAGTGTATTGTATTGCTGCAATATATTCACTGTCTTTGTGTCTCTGTGTGCAGGCAGGAAGAAAATAATCTGGGAGATGGTGGACTGAAGCGACTGAGTGAGGCTCTGAGGAACCCGGAGTTTAAAATACAGGTTCTGGTGTGAGTAACACACTGTGGAATTTAATCACATGGGAAACAAAACATCGGTGCCCTACAGTGGCCATAAACACACACAACATGGCCTCTGACAGGTCATAGTCAGGGTTGGTATCTTCTCTTATAACCCCACTCTGATGTAAAGAACCCCTCTGTTCACACAGTATTCAGTGTTCACACCACATGGATCAGCCCAGATCTAAAAACACTGAAAGGATATCCCTACAAGAGCCCTGCCCTCACCATGTGGCCAGGCCTCAGGCCCTCCTCCTTCAAGCCCCAGAGTGAATGGCCTGGAGGCAGAGTATGTTACAGATTTATACCCACCTCCACACTTGTCAACCCACGGTGCTCCCACCACGGAGGAGCTGGTGTCCATCAATGGGAGGAGGAGACTCCCTCCATCCACTGGTTGATTGACCACGTTACACACTCACTCACCCAGCCTAGCATCCTGACAGCATGTGGTCCAGCTCCTCACGGCCTGTACAGCCACCCATGGCAACAGCTGGTACCACTATCCTGTCCTCGCACCCAGGTCAGTTACACTGTTATTAAGCACTCTTGGTACCAGCCTTGTGGAAGGCGGGTAAACTGGGCCCTGAGACTTGAAAGGCTGAGGGCTTGCAGGGCAGAGGCAGCTCTGCGGGTGCTTTGTGTTGGGTTGGGAGGGGTGGCTCATTTACCCCTTTACTGTGTCATACACAGGGTGCACCCAGGCAGCTCTCTCTGTTCTGGAAGATAGTTTGGGGAGGACTTGCTGCCCTGAGGACAGGACACAGGAAGCCTGTGGCCTAGTGACATGGCCCGGAGAAGAATTGGCTGTTGAGTGCAGGGAGTAAGTGCTGTGGGGCCTGAGCTGGTGGAACCAGAGTAGAAGAGAGGCCTAGAAGGGGCAGGACCCAACCCAGGGACAATGGGGTGTGTGCAAGGGAGGAAGTGGTGTTTACCAACTTTACCAACCTGTTTGCTCCATCCTCTCGGTGGACACTGGGTGGTCCATGTCCCCCGCCCTGCCCGCTCCAACAGTGACTCATATATTCAGCATTTCCTTCCCCACCTGATGGAGCTCAATCCTGGAGAACATCTATCTCTCCTCTTCCTTTGCCTCCTTCAATGCCAACTTCCCTTTTTGTCCTCCTACCCCAATCCCTTCCACTCCACCCGTCTCTGATCCCAACCCCAAGCTCACGTGCAAACCATCATTGCCTTGGTACGTCTTCCTGACATAAAAAGCCCCTAAACTTGAAATCCGAAGTTGTTGCCGAAGAGACTGGGGCCACTCGAACCTTCCAATCCCGTCCCTGTTATGCTCTGATACATTACCCTGCAGGAATGCAATATAAATATCTGATGTTATTTTTGATCTACCACAACTTATGAAGGATGTCTGTCTGTGTGTGTGTGTGTGTGTATTTGTGTGTACATATGCGGATGTGTCTGACCTTGGGACTTGATCCCCACGTGGAAGGCGGTATGTACATGTCAGTGTGTTTCATGTTGCTCCACTATACTTTGATTGTGTCTCTGTGTCCAGGCTGCAGAACCATACTCTGGGAGATTGTGGAGTGAAGCAACTGTGTGAGGATCTGAGGAATCTGGATTGTAAAATATCAAGTCTATGGTAAGTATCACACTGTGGACTTGGTGTCAGTAATTGGCTCTAAACACAGATTATTATATCCTGAGCAGCGGTGGACAATATTAATTCTAAAAGTTCCTAAAAGCTACAAGGACTGGCTCAGCGGTAGGGTTTTGAGGACAAGTCACTGGGAGTAGAGATTCTTCCCACTCATTTCCTGCTGACCCTGTGAGACAGAGCATTTACAGGTTTGAGGGTGTCCTATCCGTAAAACACCGGGATGTTTCCCTCTCACGGGGGACCTTACACAACTTTAGCTGATTAAACTGCAGCAGCACCTATAATAATAATAATAATCCTTGAATTTGATATAGCGCTTTTCACATCTTCTGGTCACCTCAAAGCGCTTCACAGAAAATGCTGTAAAGTGAATTTACTGCATTTTTGTGGGCGAAACGCAGCAGCACACAGCAGTGATTGTCCCACAAACAGTCGTGGATTTAAGCGAACAAATTATTATTGCTTATTTTGAGAGATTTTTATCAGGCATGTGGAGTAAGGAAACTTGACCAAGGTTTCACCCTGCTGGGAATTAAACCCATGTCGCTTGCTTGTGAGGCGAGGTATTAATTGCGCATTATTAACTATTTGACTGACGTCAACACAAAAATACCAGGGAATGTTTTACCGAACGAAAAATACATTGCCAACGGCTATTACAGCACAAGCAGTTTTCTTGGTGCCATATCTTGTATTCAGTTGTTGGCAACAAATAGTTGCATATCAATCAAAATTAAAAGTCACAGTGAACCAGAATGAAGGTGCCTACACTCCAACCCCCTATCCACGCCCCACAGACATTCCATGTCACTGAACCTTGAATTGCACCAACCTACACCCAATCCTGCAAACCTGAATGTAATTCTGTTCCACATACAGCGACATTTTATTGTGAAGGTGGAAAAATGTCAGCCCCGGCCCTTTACTCCTGTCCCAGACAATCCAATCCATGGACAGTCTCTCATGGTAGTCAATTTTATATTCACTCTGATCCCTTTTGTGGCTCTCTGTCTCTCATCTCCAGGCTGTGTAATAAATAACAATACGCACTGTGTTTACTCTGATCCCTGTTATGTTTGTTTGTCTGTGATCGTCAGGCTGAGCGACATCGATCTAACAACAGATTGTACTGAGGATCTGGCCTCCGCTCTCACAATAAACCACTCATTGACGCAGCTTAACCTGATTTATAATAATCTGGGAGATTGTGGAGCAAAACGACCGTGTGTGGCTCTGAGGAACCCGGAGTGCAAAATACAGAGACTGGAGTAAGCAATACACTGTGTCTCCAAAGTCTGAATGACTCCAATATCTCAATGTGTTTATTGTGACTGTCTGATCAGTGCGGCTGAATATTGTGACAGGAATCGGTGTGACAGTGTTAGGCCACAGCCATCTTTTACATTAAACTCTCAACATGTGTTAATAAGAAACCATGTGCTGGAAACCCCAACTCTAGTGACATGTGGACAGTCACAGCTCCGACTCCTAAACTGGCTCCAAGCCCCAAACCCATTGTATCTGATCCCGAAGCTCCTGCCCTGGTCCCTTCAATCCCTCCTCACACTGTGGGTTTGTAGATATCTCCTATTGTCAGCCGTGTGTCTGACACACACACAAACCTGTCATTGGGCTTCAAACTCTCCAAACCAACCTCCTGACAGTTCCTAATCTGACTGGAGATGTGTGTGTGTGGAATGGAGGCCATTCTCTCCAGGACAGGGGAAGCTTTTGATGAACTGGGAGACTTTAAGGATCAATTGTGGGTCAATCTAAAAGCAGCCTCACTGGGAGCTCGGTTCATCACTGAATAGTGTATGTTTGTTTGTTTGTGTTTACGGCCTCGCGCATATCTGTGTCTTTGTGTGTGTGTGTGTGTGTATGTCAGTGTGTGTTATCTGGGTGTGTCGGTGTAGGTTTCTGTGTGCGTGTGTTTCCGTGCGCGTGTGCGTCTGTGTTTGTATGCGGGTCGCTGTGTGTGGTGTGTTGCTACATGCTTTTGTGGGTTACTGAGTGTGTGTGTGCCCATATGTGCTGTGTGTGTGAGTGTTTGTGTTTGTGTGTGTGATTATGTGTCTGTGTAATGGGTGTATGTTTGTGTGTGTGTGTGTGACAATATATGCACATGAGTCAGTTTGTGTGCATATGTATGTGTATATGCATATGTTTGTTTTTGTCTGATTGTGCACGTGAGTGTCTGTGTATGTTTGTGTGTGTGTATGTATGTGTGTATGTTTGTGTGTGTGTGTGTAAGTCTCCTGCAACCTGTCCAGCTCAGACATGATGCTGGGGCTTCCTCCCTAATCCTGAGACACACAACTGAGGTCAATGATTCCTTCTATATTCCCAACTGGCTTTAGCTCCCGGACGCAAATATTTTTTGTGGAAAAATCATGTCGTGAGATAGTTTTTTGTTGGTATCTTTACAGTCAAAACGTCTGTGCAAAACCCTCCCCCAGAATAAAGTCTACACAGCTTCAGCCCTGAGTTAGCCTGTGTCTGCTCACACACTGCAGTCTGAGCCCTGTAGCTCAGTGGTTAGAGCCCCCGCCTCGCTAGCGAGAGGGCCTGGGGGTGATTCCTGGCAGAGCAAAACCTTACGGATGTTTCCTTACTCCACTCGTGTCTGGTTGCCACACAGTCAGTCACAATCCGGTTTTAGGCGATTTGCAGATCGCGTTTCTAAGGTTAATAATCCCTTGAAATAAATATTTCACGAGAGACCGTGCGAGAGACACTGAGAGGTAGAGGGGGACTGAGAGAAAGACGGACAGGGCGTTACAGAGACAGAAAGAGAGACTGAGAGAGAAGAGAGACTGTGTGAGAGAAAGACAGAGTGATAAATAGACTGAGAGAGTGAGAGATAGAGACTAAAAGAGAGAGACTAGGGGAGAATAAATATAATGTGTCGTGACTTTTTTGTGAGAGGGATTAAGAGACAGAGACAGAAGGAGAGAATGAAAGAGACACATAGTGAAGAGAGACTGAGTGACAGAAAGATAGAGCGAGAGGCGCAGACAGGGACTGATAGAGATTGAAACGTAGAGCGTGAGATTCAGAGAGAGAGACTGAGGTAGAGAGAGAAAGAGGGAGAGAAAGAGAATCAGAGAGAGACTGAGAGAAAGAAACTAAGAGGGAGACGGAGAGATAAACAGATTGAGAGAAAGACGGACAGAGTGAGAATGAATAGTGTAGGTGAAATATAACATGTAGTGACTGCGTATTTTTGGGGAGAGACTAAAAGATAGAGACAGTGGGAGAAAGAGACAGATAGAGACACAGACAGAGACTGAGACAAAAATATATTTTACGAATAGTGACTGTATTTTGTGGGAGAGGCAGAGCAAGAGACTGTGAGACAGACTGTGAGAGAGAGAGAGAGAGAGACTGAGAGAGAATCTGACACAGAAACAGAGTGACAGTCAGAGAGAAAGAGAGCGACAGAGTGACAGACTGAATGAGGGAAAGAACCGAACGAGAGACAGAGAGAGCGAATGAGAGAGAAAAAAAAACGCAGAGAGGGAAAGAGACAGAGAGAGAGAGAGAGAGAGAGAATGACTGAGAGAGAGACTGAGAGATAGAGAGACTGGGAGAGTGAGAAATTGGGAAAGGGAGACTGAGAGATACAAACTGGGTGAGAGAATGAGAGAGGGAAAGAGAGAGAGTGACTGTGAGAGAGGGAGAGAAACAGAAAGAGAGAGAGACTGTAAGAGAAAGTGACTCAGAGACACAATGTGAGAGAGAATGTGAGAGAGACAGAAAGAGATACTGAGAGCCACTGATAGGGAAAGATAGTCTGAGATACTGAGAGAGAGAGACTGACAGACAGAGATAGAGTGAGAGAGAGTCTGAAATACACACAAAGAGAGAGAGACTGAGAAAGAGAGAATGGGAGAGACTAAGCGAGATAGGCTGCGAGATAGAGAGAGAGAGAGGGAGGGAGAGGCAGAGGGTGAGACTGAAAGATAGAGAGCTAGAGAGAGAGACACAGAGAGAGAGAGACTTCAGGGTGAGAATGAGAGAGAAAGAGACAGAGAGAGAGAGACTGTGAAAGAGACTGTGAAAGAGAGACCGAGAGAAAGGGAAAGGGAGGGAGGGAGGGAGGGAGAGACATAGTCTTAGAGAGTGACTGAGAGAGATATTGAGGGAGAGAGAGAGAGAGAGACTGAAAGACTGAGTGAGACAGAAATAGAGAGAGAATATATTATGTGCAGTGACTGTACGCTTTGTTGGCCAGACAGAGAGAGACAGAGACAGTGACTGAAAGAGATTGACTGACAGAGACAGAGATTGAGAGAGAGCCAGAAAGGGACACTGATAGACACAAATAGAGAGAGAGAGACTAATAAAGAGATTAAGCGATAGAGATAGATTGAGTGACAGAGGCTAAAAGACTCAGAGAGAGAGAGAGAGAGAGAAAGACTGAGAAATAGATTGAGAGAGAGACTGAGAGGAAATATATTTTAAAGTGTAGCGCGTGTGTGTTTTGTGGAGGAAACAGATACAGAGTGAGAGAGAGAGATTGAGAGAAATTGCGGGGAGACAACGAAAGAGAGTGAGAGAGAGAGACTCAGAGACACACAGCGAGAGAGAGAGAGATTGAGGGACAGCCTCAGAGAACCTGAGAAATAGAGACTGACAGTGAGAGAGAGACAGAGAGAGAGAGAGAGAGAGGGAATGATTGTGAGAGAGAGAGACTGAGAGAAAGAGAGAGACTGGGAGAGAATATGTTATAACGTGTAGTGGTTGGGTTTTATGGGAGAGGCAGAGAAAGTAACTTAGAGTGAGAGATACTGTGAGTCAAAGTGAAAGACATAGAAGGAGACAGAGAGAGAGAGAGAGAGAGACTGTGAAAGAGAATATATTATCAAACGTAGTGACTGTTTTGTGGGAGAGACAGAGGGAGAATCAGAGATAAAGAGAGAGAGTGCTATTGTGATGTGTGGACACATGTGCGGTGTGTGTGACACTGGTCCCAGCGCCTTGGGACTTGCTCCCCACGCTTCGGGACCACATCACTCCCACCCTCGCTCGCCTCCACTGGCTCCCCATCCCCCAGAGGATTGATTTCAAGATCCTCATCCTCACCTACAAGGCCATTCACGGCCTCGCTCCCTCCTACCTCTCCGACCTACTATCCCCCTACCTACCTGCCCGTACCCTGCGTTCCTCTGGCTCCGGTCTGCTCCACGTCCCCCGCCCCAACCGCCCTACCATCGGTGGTCGGGCCTTCAGCCTCTCAGCCCCCAGGCTCTGGAACTCCATCCCCCAGTGCTTTCGCCGCTTCCTCCCTTTCCTCCTTCAAGGCCGGTCTCAAGACCTTTCTCTTTGACCTTCAGCCTTCAGCTCCCCTCTTGACTCTCTACCCCTTCCTCGCTCCCTCCTTTCCCTCCCCTCACCCTGACCATTTCCCCCCTACTTGGGTCCTGACCCAACTGTACAGTGCCTTGGGACATTCTCCCGACGTGAAAGGCGCTCCCCAAATGGAATCTTGTTGTTGTCGTTGTTGAAGCCAGTGGAGTGTGGGTGAGGTTGGTGTGATAGGAGCCTCGTGCGGGAGAGTTCGCGGGCTGCAGAGTTCTGGATTATCTGCAGCGTATGAAATGAAGAGTTGGGGAGACCGACAAGCAAGGCGCTTTATAAATGGAATCTTGTTGTTGTTGTTGTTGTAAAGGCTCCTGTATATACACTGTGTATTGTGTTGTTACACTATATTCCCTGTGTTTGTGTCTCCGTGTCCAGGTTGGGGGGCAATAAACTGGGAGATTGTGAAGTGAAGCGACTGTGTGAGGCTCTGAGGAACCCGGAGTGTAAAATACAGAGTCTGTGGTAAGTAACGCACTGTGTCTCTAGAGTCTGAATGACTCCAATATCTCAATGTGTTTGTTGTGACTGTCTGATCAGTGCGGCTGAATATTGTGACAGGAATCGGTGTGACAGTGTGAGGCCACAAACCATCGTTTACATCAAACTCTCAACATGTATTAATGTGTGTGTCTGTGTGTGTGTGTCTGTCTGTCTGCGTGTGTGTGTATGTGTGTGACTGTTGTTAGAAACATTTGCGACTCTCTCCAACAATTTTAGAATGATCCGATTCCATTTTACCAATTGGTTGAGTTCAGTCACTTTATTCAGGTCAAAACAGCAGGAAATACACAAATAAATGAAACAATAAGATAATATACAAGACACAAAACGGTACCGACCGGATTCCTGTCACAGCCCTGGTCGTGTCTCGCACTCCTCCGCGACTGTTCCCGAGAGATATCTTTGTTTAAAGATGTCTTAAAAACTCCAGACAAAGCTGTCTTTTTTAAGAAAAACAACTGCTAACATGGTGATATCCATAATATGTTTTAATTCTCCTTTTAACCACATTTTATTCTGTGTGTCCCTTCGTCCAGTTTAATAATAATAATAATAATAATCCTTGCATTTGATATAGCGCTTTTCACGTTTGTGGGTTTGAACAGACTTTCTGTGTTCTTGTACGTCCTGACCTTATCTTCCCATTGTTTTGGGTTCTGCCTTCATTCACTGAGCTTTGCAGCCTTTGCACTTCTATTTTATATTCTTAAACCACTTTAACATTAACCCAAGAGAACACTGTGTGTGTATGTCTGTGTGTATGTTTGTGTGTCAGTGCCTGTGTTTGTGCATGTTTGTGTGTCTTGTATGTGTCTGTTTGCGCGTCTGTGTATGTGTGCGTGTGTTTGTGTGTCTTTGTGTTTGTGTGTGTGTGTTTGTGAGTGTTTGTATATGTGTGTCAGTGCCTTGGGAAGTCCTTCCAAAGTGAAAGATGCTATAAATGCAATCTTCTTCTTGTTGTTGTGTGTGTTTGCGTGTATTCCCGTGAATGTGTGCGATTGTGCGTGTGTTTGTGTGGGTGTTCCTAACTCTTCCCTTTACACGTTGCAGATCATCCAAAGCTCTGCAGCTCGTGTACTCTCACACACCAGGCTCCCCGACCCCATCACTCCCACCCTCGCCCGACCCCATCACTCCCACCCTCGCCCGACCCCATCACTCCCCCCCCCCCCCCCCCATCACTCCCCCCCTCGCCCGACCCCATCACTCCCACCCTCGCCCGACCCCATCACTCCCACCCTCGCCCGACCCCATCACTCCCACCCTCTCCCGACCCCATCACTCCCACCCTCGCCCGACCCCATCACTCCCACCCTCGCCCGACCCCATCACTCCCACCCTCGCCCGACCACATCACTCCCACCCTCGCCCGACCCCATCACTCCCACCCTCGCCCGACCCCATCACTCCCACCCTCGCCCGACCCCATCACTCCCACCCTCGCCCGACCCTCCCACCTTCGACCGACACCACTGGCTCCCCATCCGCCAGAGGATAAGTATAAAATCCTCATCCTCACCTTTAAGGCCGTCCATGGCCTCGCCCCCTCCTCCCCTCTCTGACCTGCTGACTCCTTACCAGCCTGCCCGCTCCCTCCGTCCAGTGGGCTCCGGGCTGCTCCATGTCTCCCGCCCGACCCGCCCTCCCATCGGTGTCTGGGCTTTCAGCCTCTCTGCCCCCACACTCTGGAACTCCATCCCATGGTCCCTTCCCCTCACTTCCTCTCTTGCCTCCTTCAAGGCCGGTCTCAAGACCCTCCTCTTTGATCGTGCCTTTGGTTTCCCTCCCTTCCCTCACCCCTACACCACCCCTCCCTCATGCTCCGGTCCCGACACCGGACTGTTCAGCGATTTAGGATGTCCTCCCGTCGTGAAAGGTGCTCCAGAAATGTCATTTTGTTGATGTTGTGTGTGTAAGTGTGTGTGTGTGTTTGTGCGTGTGTATGTGTGTTTGTGGGTGTGTATGTGTGTTTGTGGGTGTGTATGTGTATTTATGTGTGTTTTTTCATGTGTTTTGCATCCGTGTGTGTGATTGTGTGTGTTTCTGTGTGTGCGCGTTTGTGTGTGAGTTTAAGTGTTAGTGCATATATGTTTGTGTGTATTTATGTGTTTGTTTGTGAGTTTGTATACGTGTTTGTATCTTTGTGTGTGGGTTTTTGTGAGTGTATTTGTGTGCGTGTGTATAATTGCGTGTATTTGTGTGTATCTGTGTAAGTATATTTACATGTCTGTGTGTTGGTATTTGATTTTGTGTTTCTGTGTGTGTTTGTATGTTTTTGAGTGAGTGTCTGTGTGTCTTTATGTTTCCATGTGTATTTATATGTTTTTGTGTGTGTGTAATTGTGCATGTTTGTGCGTGTTTGTGAGTTGTTTTTGTTTATGGTTGATTGTGTGTTTCTGACTGTGTGTTTGTGTGTATGTTTGTGTATGTGTGTATGTGTGCTTGTGTGCTTTTTTCTGCATGTGTGTTTAATTGTTTGTTTGTGTGTGTTTGTGTTTGTTTCTGTATTTCTCTGCGCGATTGTGTGTGTTTGTGTGTCTATGTGTGTGCGATTGTGTGTGTTTGTGTCTGCGCGTTGTGTTTCTGTGTATGTTTTTGCGTGCGTATGTGTTTGCGTGGTTAAGTTTGTGTGTGTGATTGTGTGTTTCTGTGTTTGCGTTTGTGTGTTTGTGAGTATGTTTGTGTGTGTGTATGTATTTGTGTGTTTGTTTGTTTGTGTGCATGGTGGTGTATGTGTGTATCTGTGTTTGTGTCTGTGTGTTTGTGTCTCTGTGTATTTGTGGGTCATCTGTTTGTTTGTGTTTGTGTGTTTGTGCGCCTGTGTTTGCACGTGTGTGTTTGTGTGTGTGTTTGCTTATGTGTGATTTTGTGTGTATGATTTTGTGATTGTTTTTGTGAGTGTTTGTGTGTTTCTCTGTGTGTGTGTTTGTTTGTGTCTCTCTGTGTATGTGAATTTATGTGTGTGATTTTGTGTGTGTGTGTTTTTGAGTGTGTGTCTGTGTGTCTGTATTTGGCTATGGGTCATGTGTTTGATGTGTGTGTGTTTGTTTCTCTGTTTGTGTGCGTGTGCTTGTGTATATTTGTGTGTGTGTGTGTGTGCGCGCGCACTCCTTCAACCTGTCCGGCATCAAACAAACTGTGAGTGACAGTGGGTTACACACACTGTAGTTACTCTGATCCCTGTTATGTCTCTGTGTCTCTGATCTCCAGGCTGCACAGTAACAATTTGACCGCTGATTGTACCGAGGATCTGACCACCGCTCTCAGCACAAACCACTCACTGACGGAGCTGATCCTAAATAACAATAATTTGGGAGATTGTGGAGTGAAGCGACTGTGTGAGGCTCTGAGGAACCCGGAGTGTAAAATACAGAGATTGTGGTAAGTAACGCACTGTGTCTCCAGAGTCTGAATGACTCCAATATCTCAATGTGTTTATTGTGACTGTCTGATCGGTGCGGCTGAATTCAAGATCCTCATCCTCACCTACAAGGCCATTCACGGCCTCGCTCCCTCCTACCTCTCTGACCTACTATCCCCCTACTTACCTGCCCGTACCCTCCGTTCCTCTGCCTCCGGTCTGCTCCACATCCCCCGCCCCAACCGCCCTACCATCGGTGGTCGGGCCTTCAGCCTCTCAGCCCCGAAGCTCTGGAACAACATCCCCAGTGCCTTCGCCGCATCCTCCCTTTCCTCCTTCAAGGCCGGTCTCAAGACCTTTTTCTTTGACCTTCAGCCTTCAGTTCCCCTCTCGACTCTCTACCCCCTCCTCGCTCCCTCCCTTCCCTCCCCTCACCCTGACCATTTCCCCCCTCCTCGCTCCCTCCCTTCCCTCCCCTCACCCTGACCATCTCCCCCCAATGCTCGGGTCCTGACCCAACTGTACAGCGCCTTGGGACGTCCTCCCGACGTGAAAGGCGCTCAATAAATGGAACCTTGTTGTTGTTGTGGTATTGTGACAGGAATCGGTGTGACAGTGTGAGGCCACAAGACATCGTATACATCAAACGCTCGACATGTGTTAATAAGAAACCATGTGCTGGAAACCCCAGCTCTAGTGACATGTGGACAGTCACAGCTCTGACCCCTAAACTGGCTCCAAGCCCCAAACCCGCTCCCATTGTATCTAATCCCGAAGCTCCTGCGCTGGTCCCGTCAATCCCTCCACACACTGTGGGTTTGTCGTTCTCTACTATTGTCAGCCGTGTGTCTGACACACACACAAACCTGTCATCAGGCTTCAAACTCTCCGAACCAACCTTCTGACAGTTCCACATCTGACTGGAGGTTCGTGTGTGTGGATTGGAGGCCATTCTCTCCAGGGCAGTGGGAAGCTTTGGATCCACACAGAGACTTTTAAGATAAAGTGTGTGCGAATCTGGAAGCAGCTTCACTGGGAGCTTAGAGAGCGCTGAATAGTGTGTGTTTGTGCTTGCATTTATGTCTGAATGTATGTGTGTCAGTGTGTATGTCTGTGTGTAGCTTGTGCATGTGTGTGCCTGTGTGTGATGTGTTTGTGTGTGTTTGTCAGTGGGTGCAAACTCTGGGTATGTCTGTCTGTATTTCTGTGTCATGTGTTTTTATGTATGTGTTTTTGCGTTTGTATGTCTGTGTCTGTGTGTGGTATGTTTCAATATGCTTTGGTGTGCGACTGTGTAGATGTGGCCGTGTGTGCTGTGTGTGTGAGTGATTGTGAGTGTGTGTGTGTATCTGTGTGTATGATTATCTGTGTGTGTTATGGGTGTTTGTTTGTGTCCAGGTGTGGGTATGTATGCATATGTCTGTGTTTGTGTGCATGTGTATATGTATGTATCTGTATGTATAAGTGTGTGTGTGTAGATCTGTTTATGTATGTGTGTGTACATGCGTGTATGTATGTGTGCGTATGTGTGTGTGTGTGCGCGCGCAGCACTGCAACATGTCCAGCTCAGACATGCCTGATGTTGGTGCTTCCTGTCTA